GAAATCGTGGCGCATCAGAGCGACACCAAGTGCGCTCCACACCTGCCAGAGATAGAACGCTTCTCTTCTTACGAGGGATTGATCAGGGCTACAGCACGAGTACTGCAGTTCATCGATGCCATACGAGGAAGGGCACAAGGGTTAACGTTACAGCACATCCAGAGGGCAGAGCGGATGTGGGTGGAACGCAGTCAGCTCGACAGCTTCGCTGAAGACATCAGCCGAATTCAGCAGGGGAAGAATCTGGCCACCGGCAGCGCTCTGAGGAAGCTCGACCCCATACTTGAAGACGGAATACTACGAGCCAGGGGAAGAATCGACGCAGCTGACGTGGACGACCAGATGAAGCGACCCGTCATACAGAATGGACGCCACCGATTTGTAAAGCAGCTTATAGAGAAGGCGCATCAAGAGGCAAGCCACGCCAACAGGGAGAGAGTGGTCAACGACTTACGCAACAGATATCGTATCCTCCGACTACGACCGACCGTACGAGAAGTGGAGCGGAGATGTCTGCGATGCAGGGTACCCGAACGGTTAGGGGCGTTTGCGCGACCGTTTACGTACACCAGAGTCGATTATTTCGGGCCTTTGTCAGTTACGATAGGACGACGGCACGAAAAGCGGTGGATAACCGTCGGGCCTACCTATCATCGCGCCGTGCTCACCCATAGATCGTCGGACGTGGAGAGCGGCGCAGGGGCTCATCGACGAATACAGGAGGCGCTGGGTGCGGGAGTATCTGACGACGCTGGTCACGCGTGGAGCTTCCCGGAACGCCCAGCGACTAAAAATAAAGGAAGAAGACCTCGTCGTGGTCGCAGACCTACCGCGGACCGTGTGGCCAAGAGGGATAGTTACGAGAATATTTCCCGGACCTGACGGCGTGGTGCGCAACGTGGAGATCCCGACCAGAGGCGGGGTACTGCGACGACCGGTGAGGAAGATCGCCGTCCTCCCGAAAGAAGATTAGGCTCGCTTGCTACGCTGGGAGGAGGATGTTACGGACGGCGAGGGGAACCGCCGCCTCGTCACCCCTTCATACTCCGTTACGCCCCACACCCCGCCCGAATATCACGTGACCAATCAACCAATCAGCGCGCGGCACACTTTATAAGACCACGCTCGTGCCGAGACACCTTTTTTGGGAATATAAGAAGGCGTTTGGGCGTTTTGGGTTGCGATTTATTCATTTCGACAGCGGCATTTCATGAGGAAACATCAAGAGAGAAACATTAAGAGAAAAATCTCAAGAGAGAAACTTCAAGAGAGAAAAGGCAAGAAGCAAGACTCCATAGAAGACTCCCTCCTGTGCATAGTTTATTAACGCCTCTTGTAAATAGTTGTAATATATAATCGTCAAGAGTACCATCTTTTCTTCCAACGTCCTTAGCATAGTTCACCCTACACAGTAAATAGTAAAATCAAAATTAAATTCAAACACAGTTCACTGCAGTCCCCTACATATACAATAATTCAGGAGCATTAATCTGCCACCGGTCAAGTTCCCGCCAAAACTCCAACTGTCATTTAATTATAACCTCAGTCTCAGAGTAGTAGTTTGTGGCATGGTAGTGGTTATTAGTAGAACTCGTAATTTAGTGTCAAGCCAATTCATGTTTTATTACGAACGGAATAAATTTTAATTTTGATAACACATAAAAATAATGATCAATGGCCTAGACAAGGACCACAACATTGTGTTGTGAATGGTTGTAAAAGTGAATCGTACCCAAGTTGTGACAAATCTTTCCGCAGGTAAGAGAATTCTGTTTTAGAGGAATTAGGGTGCCTCTGTTAATATGAACTTTGTGGGCATACTAGGGATGATCGATGATCATCGATGTTGCCACATGTCAAACATCGATACATTGATGTTAATAAACACATAATCGATTATTGGGTACTTGCGAACACTGCGAACCCGTGAAATCAATATCAACTAATCTTGCGTCTCCTCTAAAATATTTAAAAATTTGAATAATTCAGAATACTTGAACTCATCGATGACCTAAAAATATATCATTACGGTGTATCAAATTTAACTGTCAAGTGTCAACTGTAATGTGGCAGTTGTCACAGATTTCGTTTTGTTATTGGTATCTTTGTTGGTTGTATGTTTCTTTGTGGCTTGTTTAAAAAAAAACGATGGTTGATCTTAAACACGATCCAATGCACGTTTAGAATAATGTTATAAGTTCTACCTATCTAAAATTTAAAAATAAACTTGTGGTGAGATATTTAACCACAATCGCTACATTAACGCCATCTGAGCGGTTATCTAACGACTTCAAAAAGAAGGAGGTACTCAATTCGACTGTATGTTCTTTCTTTTTAATGTGTGTTACCTCATAACTTTTTTCTGGGTGAACCGATTTCGATGATTCTTTTTTTATTTGAATGCTGGTGCTTTTTTATGTGGTCCCATATAAATTTGACAGAAACAGAGAAACAGATTGAAAGGTACTTCTTTGTCAAAATTACTATTTCTACAATCAATTGGGAAAAATATTGGACTATATAACATATGTACTAGATATGTTGAAAATTGTGAACAAAGTTGTGAACTTTATCCAGTTTTTTTTTTAAATTACTGTTTTACACTACATTGTTTATTAATTTATTTTATTTCATTAATAACCATAAACAAAATGACAATTTTTATTCATCTAATTCTAACCTTTTTCAACAGTGGTAGAGCCACGCGGCAGCTTTTGCTGTCGCACGGATGGGCCGGCTCGAACCGGGGTAGTACCACGACCTCACAGAAAACCAGCGTGAAGTAGAGGTTTACCTCTGCGTTTCGCTTGGTGAGTGCAGGTGGCCGGAGGCCCTTTTTACTGGAAATGAGGCATTCCATCTTAGTCCTCACGGGTGACAACGCATCTACATTTTGATTTGTAACAGAGGATAGATGTAGATGTCTATGGGCCGCAGCAACCAATTACCATCAGGTGGACTGTGTGCTCGTTTGTCACCCTTATCCTATAAAAAAAAAACCTATTAAATACATGTGCAAAAAACATCGATAATGGCCACCATCGGTGTTTTGAGTAGGATAAACATCGAACATCGATGTTGAGCTATCCATGTCAACATCGAAGTCATCATCGATGTTTCTGCAACATCGATCATCCCTAGTTCATACATAGGAAAGGCCAAAAGGAACGATAAAGCTTGATAAATCATGAATGAAGTAAATTTAATTGCTGTTTTGTGTTATCCATAACTTGATAAAAGTTATAAAAAAGCTGTCAATATTTATATTGTCAAAAAGATGGCCAAATTAAGTTACAAAGTTTTAGGTTAAAGCTGACTGTACATTATTTTATTATATGTAAAACTGCTTGCATACTAATGAATTACTACCTCATTGCTAGCACAGTCTTTACATTTAAGAAAAGGTAAAATATAAATTTTATTATTTATAAATTGAGAAAAAAAATGTTTTTGTCAGATTTCCCAATGACGAAGAAACTAAAGGAAATTGATTCAAGATTTTCATACTACTAAAAAAATATCAAAGTATAATATTTTTTTTAGTAGTATGCATAGTGTTAACTGTGCAACATTTTATACTACAATGGACGCGTCATTTAGCCATCCACACTAGCTTGCTACATATATATTTATCTATGATCCACACCCTGTGAGTTCTTTCAACCGGCCGTGCGTGGCATGGCCCGGTACGACATTGTCCCTTCGACCAGCTTCACACAAATCCAACCCTTCAATCAAACATTCATAAGCTTGGACCGGACGAATGTGTCCTTTCAACCAGCCGCACTCGGCATAGCCCGGTACGACATTGTCCTTTCGATGAATCACTCGATATTCAGAGCAAAACTTCTACACTCATCAACACATTAGAACACAAAAAAGCCACTCATTCTCTCAATTCATAGTATGTTAAAGTTAAACATTTCCCCGATACATCGCTAAACATTTCGAACTTTAAAATGTACCCCATGTAAATCATATTTTGCATGAACATAAAACTGAGATAATAAATCCAGTAATAACTTCATCAGGCATGATTGTTTTAGGAATTTACTCGATAAGTGAAGACCAGCTTCAGACATTGTTTCTTTAACTCTTGTTTCTTTACTAAGGGGCATGCCATTTTAGTAAATTGAAGCTGGGTAAGTCAATTAACCCTTAGCTGGTATCGCCTTTTTTGGCAACACTACCGGTATCGTGGGTCATATTTTACCCATACCAAAAAATCTGTTGTAGAACGTAGATTTTTTTATTATTTGTATAAAATATGGTTAGTTATGAAATTAAGAAAAAAAAAAACATTTTTTTACAAAATAATCTTGGTTTAATTTTAGAATATAAAAAGTTATCATGTTTTACACGCATTTGTAACTAACCTAAGTTTTTGGCACTTTTTGGTAAGTGTGAACTTAAAACATTAAAAAAAAAATAGAAATGTAAGAAAAACTTTAACCAAAAGATATTTATGGCATTTCTCATATCTTTATAATAACAAAAAATATATTACTTCTGAGATCAGCATAAAATAAAAAAAATGACAACCAAAATCAAAAGGACTACTTCCAAACTAACAAGATAACATATTTTAGTCTATATACTTTCTGACAACTGGAACATATAACATTTTGGATTGGAGGCTTTCCAAAGTACATATCCATTAGCTGCAGAAATATTCAATATTGCCCAAAAAATTACACATGGCCATCTCTGAGTTCTTCTTGCTACCGAGTAATTCGCACATTTTTGGTCTAAAGAATCTACACCGCCTTTGTTACTATTATAAAATTGAATGATTTCTGGTTTGCCGCTTTCATTGTCGACGGATTCATCATGGTGCATAGTTGAAATCATGATTACACTTTGATTCTTTTTAGGGACAAAGGAGCAAAGAGTTTTATCATTTGTGAAACCAAATAAACTGGAACCTACTGGACGAGTTTTATGCGGTAAGAATTCTGGAGGGATTTCGCGTTTATTTTTACGCAATGTTCCGACATATATCAAGCCCACTTTTTCAGTTTATCGACCAGTTCGATCGAGGAAAACCAGTTGTCTGCCGTGATATTTCTGTTTGAATTCTTCAAAGGTCCGACTAATTCCAAAACTGTACGTGTAGGTATAGATACATCAGTTCTTATTGATTCTGTTTTACCAGTATATATAAAAGCATTGTACAAATAATGATTTCTAGAATCGCAAAGGCATAAAATTTTGATCCCATATTTCGCAGGTTTTGATTTCATGTATACTCTAAATAAGCATCTTCCTCGAAACGAACACAACATCTCATCTACAGTGATATATTCAGAGCAACTGTAGTTTTTTTGGCAGTTCTGTGTTTATATATTGAATACTTCAGATATTAGTGCAGCTTTCTTTCGGTCCTCGTTTCAATGTCATCAAAACGTATAGCTGACGTAATAAAAAGGTATCTTTTTAGAGACATAGTCACCCTGAAAATATCTCTACCTGTACCATCCGAGTTCCATAAACCTTCAAGATTTTCATGTCCCGATTTGAAAACTCCAACCAAAATGGTAAGACCCAAAAAAGCGTCCATTTCAGTCTTTTGTATGGAATTTGTATGAGCACCAGTGCTTGAATTAGACTCTCTAAAATCCGCAATTTTTTTGTTGGTATGTACTCGTAAAATAATTATTTCAAGCATCTCATTTGTCACTAACAACTGCCATGACTCCAACTCTGACATATTAGTTTTTGCACGAGCTGGGCCTACTAAGCCAGGTAGGTGTGTAATTATGTTATGCCTCCTCGTTCGGGATCTACTTGGAGCTTTTTTAGACCACTTGTAACGATTTTTACCTCGATAACAATTTGACGTCCGCCCTCCATCATCCTCATCTTCGCCCTCATCTCTCGTATTTTCGTTCCTCGTATTTTCTCTTATTCTCTTATTCTCGTATTCTCCTCTTCGTTTTCACTGTCGTCAGAACTTATTCTAAATACACTGTCTTCTGCGCAACTAACAGGATCGGGACTGTCTCGATCGCTGATGATTTCGTCGTCACAAAGTTGGTTTATATTTGGTGTCCTTTCATTTTCCGATTCCAACTCATCATTTAAGTCGTCCATCAACTCCTCGATTTGTCTATCGTTCAAAAAGCCCCCCATTGTAGTACAAATATTCATGTATAGTGTGGCAAGACACAGAGAAATCATTTAAATTATCTATTTGATTACACACAGTGATCACAATGACTAGCAACAAACTGTTACCATATCTTCATCACTTTTTATGATACGATCTACTGTTGAGAAAACCACTGTCAGGTCGTTCCAAGTCGACCAACAGTAGTCTCTACGAGACAAAGGCCTTCCACCACACCATCAGATGTTCATCGCTCCTGAATGACTCACAAGTAAATCGCACTTATAACGCACGCACCAATTCGTGCAATGCGACCAAATAGTAATAACAAGTGACTAAGAGTATGAACGCTTGGAAATACCTCCAGCAACTTCTTCAATACTTAATTCTACTTTGACTAGACCAATTCAAATGAAATTTGACATCACAAAATAAAATGTCCAAAAGCTATAAACTTTTTTATGGTTCATTACGTAACGAATGTATACTACACTTCATTTTATTTTCCCGAGCCATCCCCATTACATTTTTTTTTATATAGGATCGGGTGACAAACGAGCACACAGTCCACCTGATGGTAAGTGGTTACTGTGACCCATAGACATCTACATCTATCCTCAATAAAGACTCAAGATGCAGATGCGTTGTCACCCGTGAGGACTAAGATGGAATGCCTCTTTGCCAGTAAAAAGGGTCTCCGGTTCTCTACGCTCACCATACGAAACACATCAGTGTTAAGCTGCTATTTTACGCTGGTTTTATGTGAGATGAGTTTTATTTAGGACGACTAAAATAGACCACTACCAACATCACACGCGCACCGCTCCCACTCTGTGGGCTACGGCTACGATATGGCTGTCGACATAGTCAAAACACAAAATAAAATGAAGTAAGCAACTCTACAATTTAACTAGACCATTAATCACCCAAATAGACTAAGCTTAGTCAATTGAAATAAGATTGGCTTTTAGGCATTTCTCTCAACCAATTAAAAAGTTAACCACTTGTTACTACAAAATATTCTTTTGTAAGCAATATTTATGACAAATTTACTTACCTCACGCATCAAATGTCGGTCGGCAGCAGCGTTAAAAAATAATCCGCCACACAGTACTACGCCTGCGCTAGCACTTTTTATTTGTTTGTGACCATGCCTTCATCACATTATTCGAAGATTATATGTAGGTGAAAGAGGAACTTTATCTCATTTCTGATGAAGGCGAAAGAGGATCATCCCAGATGCATTCATGATGGATGGCGCAAATATGCGTGCGTTATTACAACATAAAGTACAAGAAAATATAATAAACAGATCGTTAGCAATTCGTCAAAAATATATGGTACTTCTAAGGGGTCAAGGTACGTAGTCTAAACAGGAAGTTTACTTTTACTGAATTTATTTTAATATTTATTTTGTTTGAAAATTTCACTTTTTTAATTAACGGGTTTTAATTTAATATTTAATTTTTCTACACTTCTATGGACTAGTATTACTTGTGGTTTCATTTATTGCTTAAATGTGGATTCCTTACTGTATATCAACTCAACTCAGAGGGTGACACTGAAAGTTCTTAGATAATAAAAAACTGAAAAAACTACCAAGTTATTAGTTTTATTATATCTTTTCAAAATAGTGTCCATTTACATCAATACATCGCTGCATCCGATGGGACCACTGAGAAAATCACGTTGGTCACTCGTCCTTAGGGGTCTCTTCGACGGCATTTTGAAAAGCAGCTACTGCTTCCTCGGTGTCCATTAAACATTTTATTCGAAGTTTTTCTTTTATTTTCCGAAATAAATAAAAATCGCAAGGTGCGAGGTCGGTGCTATAGGGTGGGTGACCCAGGAATTCCATGTCCGACGTCGCCAATTAGTAAATTGTTTGCTTGGCGGTGTGCGACGAGGCGTTGTCGTGGTGAAGGAGGATCTTACTGTGAGATCGTTTCTCCCAAACTTATTCCAAAACAAGCGGCAAGCAATTGTTAGTGCACCACTCTGCAGTAACTGTTTCTCGATCTTCTAAAACAATTGTTGCGTAATGGCCTGTCTTTCGGAAGAACGAGGCCACCATCTTTTTTCCCACGCTTCGACCTCCCTTCACTTTAATTGGCAACTCCTCGGAAGGAAACACTCAGAGAGCAGACTGTCTCTTAGTGTCAGGATCGTAACAATAAATCCAGCTTTCGTCAACCGTAAGTATTGTTGCGCGCCACTATTAATGTCTTGTACATGGCAACACTAGTTACCACTAGCGCCCTCTAGTATCAAGTAGCAGAACTAGGTGAGTCAAGATCCTTCTAGAAATTTCGGAACCGATATGTACATTCTAGATGTCGCAACATTCTAGATGTCGCTACAATAGAAGGTTCTGGAAACTATCTGAGGCCCTATATAAGGCCGGTATAGACCACGACGGAGTTAGTATTGAATTGGCGATATAAGCGAATACTTCGAAGCGATATACCTGCGAACTAAAGTGATCAATAGAACGATTGTGTTTTGTTATTATTGTGGTTTTAAGTTGTAAGTAGTGTTCTGTAATTAAAGTGTCAATTTTGTTAATTCAATCGGCAGTTTTTAATTGTCTCGAACCCCAAGCTCGTAACAATTGGTATCAGAAGTGGGATCAAACCATGCCGATTTTACCAAAGGACGACTTGGAGGGTATCCGTACCCAAAGTCAACGCCAGCTGGAGACGGACCAGAGACGATTTGGTAATGCAACGCCACAAACGTCGGAGGGCCAGCTACTGAACACGGAGGCCGGCCCGTCAGCAGCTCCTGCATCTGCAGCACCTGACTTAGGTGCTCTGATGATGGTGCTGCAGGAGCAGATTCGCCAACAGGAGGAACAGGCCCGCCGACAGGAGGAACAGGCCCGCCGACAGGAGGAACAGACCCGCCGACAGGAGGAACAGGCCCGCCGTAAAGAGAAACAGGCCCGTTGGTTGGAAGAGCAGCTGCAGCGCAGTATGGAAGAGCAGATGCTCCTCATGAAGGACCTTCACGCTACCTTCGGGAAAGAGATAAGGGAGGTAAAGGATAGGGTTGCTCGACATGACAACTGCCTGTCGGAAGCAGAAACCCGAATCGACCAAGTGTACAATCGGGTTGACAACGTGATGGCTGACATGAAGAAAACGCTGGACGACCTCAAACTTGGGGATGGAGTTACAGCTTCCGTGGTAGTTACAATAGCTTCGCTACGTGGATTCAAAGTGCCGCTGTTCGACGGGACTTCTTCCTGGTCGGCCTACAAAATCCAGTTCGAGGCTGTCACGAAGGTGAACGGTTTTAATAAAAGTCAGGCCATGACTGCTCTCGCCCTAGGCCTGCGCGACCAGGCCTTAACTGTTCTGGAAGCTCTCGTTAAGGAAGTGACTTACGAGCAGCTCCTTGAGGCATTGGAGGCGAGATATGGCGACGCTCACCTAGAACACGTCTTTCGTGCGCAGCTCAAAAATTGCGTGCAACGCAGTAATGAAAACCTGCAGCAGTGGGCCCTTGAGGTGGAGAAGCTGATTTAAAAAGCATACCAGTCTGTACCTGCGCTCATTGTAGGGAACCTGGTGCGGACATTCATCGACGGCATCCGCGACCTTGAAGTATGAGCTGCTGTGAGGCTCGGGCACCACCTCATGCACTGGAGGTGGAAGCCGTGCGGCAGAATCATCGTTCCTATCGCGTCAGGGAGGTTGCAGCGGCTACAGTTCGCGACCGCAATAAAGGATACAGCCCTAGGTTCTACGGCTGTGGGGAAAAGGGCCATCTTCGATCCAGTTGCCCTAAACGAACTGTAGAAAGGGAAGGTGATCGATCTCGAGAGGGTAGTGTGGCTAACAGCACCGCCCAACAGCAGCAGGGAAACTGGCGGGTGCTGACTGATATTAGAAGAGGTACTCCTAAGATTGTCCATGTGGATCGACTGGCGCGTTATTATGGGATGGGGCCAATAATGCTCGGGACGAGCATGTCTTAGGTGGGGGCAGTGTTGCGCGCTACTATTAATGTCTTGTACATGGCAACACTAGTTACCCCTAGCGCCCTCTAGTATCGAGTAGCAGAACTAGGAAAGTCAAGATCCTTCTAGAAAGGACAATGTCCAAACTCGCCTAAGAACCAACATATATTTGACTATTACCAAAATTCTTATCCTTAATTATGCATTAGATA